AGGAAATCCCGTGCGCCTGGCCCGGCCCGGAGATGGCGGCGGCGCGAGGCCGCTGCCCGTCCCTCCTGTGCTGACATCCTGCCCTGGTGAGTCAGCCCGGGCACCGGCCCTGCCCAGGGGACAGCCTGCCATGGGGGCCTCGGCCAAAGGCCAGCGAGCTGGAGCCAGCAGCCGGATGTAGGGTGAGGAGTTTGCCGTATTTAGATGTGTTTTTCCTGGAGCAGGAGATGCACAAAATGAGAAGAGTTGCCCGGATGCTCTTGCCTCGCTGCCCCACTGCCACCCTGTTGCATCTCCTCTGCCCTCACAGCTGCTATCCCCAAGCCTGGGCTCTCTGTGCTCTTCAGCATCCCATTTATCCTCCCTGCTTGCTTTATCCCTTCTCCAAGCTGACTCCAGTCTCCTACAGCAGCTAGAGGAAATGGGGACAAACAGTGAGCACGGGTAGGGCTTTCCTCTTCAGAATGATGGCTCACGTTGCCAGTCTCATCTCTTTGACAAGTGTTAAAGCAAAGCTTGGTTTGGAGCCAACACACCTGGTAGCTCAGAGCCTCTATAGATCTGCACAGGCACAGCACATCGCCTTGGTCAGATCCTTTTGAGGTGGGACTCCCTTGCTTCATGTCCTCTTCGACGTCGCCAAAACAGTCTTGACATCACCAGTATTGGAGAAGTGAGAAACCAGTCCATTGGCACTGGTGGAGAAGTTCAGCCATCAGTTGTGCTGAAGGAGTGAGTTGGGCAGGGAATACCATGTTCTCCTCCAGTTTCACAGCTCATGTTCTCCTGAATGTCAGTGAATGAAGAAATTGCCCAGAGAAGCCAAGTGGGTATCAGAAGATGAGTATCTTCTCCACAGACTAACATGGTATTAAGTAGATGTTCATGTCACCAAGACCTGTGTCCCATCCTGTACACTAAGGAGGAGAGGGCATGTACAGTTGCCTTGGCTTTGAAATTAAACCAACAGCACCAGCTATAAAAAACACCCCAATTCAGAAGGTTCCTGGTGCCCACCAAAGAGAAGGCCCTGTGCTTGCTACCTGGTGTCTTTTCACAACTCTTCTTCTTTTAGAGACCTCAGATGGTTCTGCAGAAGTGTGTGTTAAAAATCAGAGTTTGGTAGATATTCGTGGAGCAGATGGGAAGGAGACTGAATAATAACTTTCACAGAAAGTTTCAAAATTACATATTTCAGCAACATTTTTTTCTGTTTACTGCATTAGGAGTTTGCCCTAATTGTGGGAGATAAAATACCTGAGAAAGCCTCCCAATCAACTGTTTCTGTTGCAGCAGGAGTTGCTCATGTTAGGACTGATCTTTAAGGACTGGTTGTTCTTTGTTGATGATCCCCTTTGGAATCTCCTGGGCAGCCATGACTCAGTGAGCATCATATTTAATAAGGCAGATTTAAGGTAGTAGCTGCTTGATTGGTTTGGTTTGTGCTGGTCTTTGATTATTTCTGTGGTGATTTTTATGGCCTTCTGATTTGTTCTGACATTTTTGGGTCAATTGCCCCTGGGTTTAGAAGCTGTTCTGCGGTCACAACCTTGCTCAAGGGTTGGATTAATACATATCTATAAAAAAAGAGCCTCTAATGGAAGCTGTAGGCACCTCAGCAATACAAAGCACTGTTCCCTGCTCCTTCACAACCATCTCACACGGGTGTGATTGTCTTGACTGATCAGGTTTTCCATTTGCTTTTCACCTGCGAGAGCAAGCTGAGAATCTAACCCATAAAAACCTAATAATACGCCCCAAAATAGTTCAGCTTTTGAATAAATAAATAATTGAATAAATAAAACCTAGCTAAAAGGAGAACCTTCATGAAGGTCTGAAGAAGTAAGTCAGTCCTGCAGTATGCCCAAGGCATCATCCAAGTCAGGTATGGCCAAGCTAAAAAAATTCAGCATCACAAGCCATGAAGTGTGTCCTGTCCAGTGGCCTTTGAAGCCACACCATGCTAGAAGAGTTTGTGGTACAAACACACGTGGAGAAGGTTAGTTTGAGCTCGTTCACTAGTGCCGAGAGTGACTGACTTTGGTTTCAGCAGTAATCCCATTGCTTAGCTCAGAATGTGTCAATACACTTCCACATCTCCCCCAGTTCCTTTGCCTTCTGGGAGGGATGAAAAAGGTGGCAAAACGTGCACTCTGTGGACGCTGCCACCGAGTGCATCAGGGTTGGGAGCAGCGTGGTTCTCACCCAGGATAAGCACAGCTGGAGCAGATGCTGTGAGCTGTCTGTGCTTGATTTGGGTCCGCACCAGCTCAGCCAGAAGCCATTTGTTTCCTTTTTGTCAGCACACCCCAAACCAGCTCAGGCATCTGGCCAGGGTTACAGCTTTTAAATGTTCCAGCATCTATGTTGCTGCTGTGGCAACCCGCAGTGCAGAAACGAATAGCTTTTAAAAATAAATCTGGGGTGGTGTGGAGGTGGGAGCAGAGAGAGGAAGGAAAGGGGAAGAGCAGTTGAAAGGAAAACGTCAGTCATTAACGTTGTCATAAAAGAAAAAAAAAGGGTTGAAACATCTGCTGGAATCATGAGCAACGTTTTACTGGGACTCAGCAGTTTGTTGGCAGTTCACTGAAGAAATTCAGCAGTTCAGGTTTTGCTAGTAACTGCTCACCAGGGTTCCTATTAAGAATTAGTAAATGCTAGAGAGGGCTTTCCCTGCCAGAGCAAATACAAGGCTCCTCTAGAAGATCCGTCAAGTTCTTGCAGCACAGATGTGTTTGCAGAATTAACTTTTGTTGCTGTATGAGAGCACACCCACTTGAGATGAGGATGACTACAGCAACTGAACAAGCATCTTGCCATGAAGTTGTCCTTTGTCTGATGATGCTCAGCCTGGCTGACCTTTAGAGAGCCCTTTTTCCACCTCTCCCTCCCCAGGACAGCCCAGTAAAAGGTGTAACAGAGCAGGGTGGTGTTGCACAGGGTAAGTGCCAGCTGTCTTCCCGTACGAAAACTGCAGAAAATAGTGATGAAAAAGTTCTGTGAGATGGATTCCCTGCTCCCCCTGGGCCAATGCAGAACCCTTTCATGGCATTGTTTGCCTCAAGCCTCTTTGCATTTAGCTTTAACGGTCTACTGGAATAGTAGCAGTGAAAGATGAAGCTGAAAGCACAAGTTTCACTGTTTTGCTGCCAAAACAGAGTTGTTCACAGTACTTTCAGAGCTCTGTGAAATGGCAGCGACGTTTCAGCCTCCTTGGGCTGAGTGTTTTCACTGTACACTTGGAGGCCAAGCTGAAAATGTATCTAGAAGCCCCCTCTAACCTCCATCCCACAGCTACACAGAGTATTCCATGTAGCATCCTGTTGTATCTGACTCCTGCAGATAACAAAGGTCTGCTTTCTCTGTGCCATTGCTCTAGGGGGGCAGAGGAGCCCCTCAGAGTCACCCTGGGACAGTGGGTGCTGAGATCACTGGGGAACCACTGTGGACCAGGAGGAACCCCTTTGAAAACATTGTTGGGTCAGAGGCTTTTCTGCAGGCATAAACCTGCAGTACACCACAAGAAGTCCCTACAAAGCACTGGGCACAACCCAGCTCTAAATGTGGATGTCAGGTGCCATTTTAGGTGGGTTAGAGTATCCCACTGCCAATCCAAAAGAGCATGGCTCTCACAGCATCCTGTATCGTAATTGCCACCCCATGAAAGATACTACTGCTGAATCCACCACAGATACCAGAACTCAGCTTTCCATAAACATAAGGTGAATGCTTTGAACTGCAGCTGCCACTGCACAACAGCCAGTAATATGAGTGGAACACGTGTAGAAATGGAGTTCACCCCGTCTTGAACTTGCTTTTCATCTCACAGTGTGGCCATAACCTTCATGTCCTTACTCTGATGAAAGGACACACTTGGCTTATGCAAAGCAGAATATGGGAGCAAAGTAGTGACCTCACTCATCCCTAAGCCCAGAGGTGTCTTAAAGAGGGAGAATGCTAAGCACATCCTGAAAAATCAGCTGCTCAAGTTGGGGACCTATAAATGGATGCAGCCAACGTAGCCCCTTCTTTGAGATGCTAGATCTTGGATAGCAATTGATGCACCATCCCAAACCAAAATTCAGTTAGGCTTCTCATCAATGTGTTCCCCTCAAGACCTGAAGTTACAAATGCTGTCCTGACATCTGAGCAACAGAGTCTGGCCTAATCTGTGGACTTAGTACAGTGGAAGTTGCTTGGTAATTGCCGTTAGCAAAGTCAAGCCATTGAGACATCCTGTTTAAATATTTGGAGCTGTGTCTTTGCAAGGAACAGCTACAAGCCCAGAAGGACCTCTGGGTTATAGTTGTCTTGGTGTGTTTTACAGGAATATTGCTAGGTAATTTTGTTCCATTCCGTTTTTTCATGGCACTGTAAGTGGGTTGAATTAAATGTTTGCTGCTAAGATAATTGCAGTCCTTAAGAAGTAGGCTGTATTATTAAATGCTTTCTCCTGGGCTTAATTTCCCAAAAATGAATCCCCAGGGCCTCGTAAGCTGTACTGTTATTTGCTATTGGGACATTTCAGAGGAATCATATGTCTTTTTTTTTTCCTAGAACTTCACATGAATAATTTTGTCGCTTTTATTTTTCTGGATAATGATTACAAATGTCTTTGTGTGCTCCACTGTCCAATCTCTGTCTGTTAGCTTAAACATTAAGAATTTGCTGTAAACAAACATGACTGGGTAACACCTGCTTCATGTCACAGTCTGATCTCTTTTTGAAGGACTGGATCCAAGCTTTGGTAAAATTACAAGTGCTCCAGATGCGTATTCTGCTGTCAGCTGGCCTAGTGAAATCATTGTTTATTGATAGGTTCCCAAGAGTCAGATAGTTCTCAGTCTGCCAAGAAAGACATGCTGGCTGCACTGAAGTCCAGGCAGGAGGCTTTGGAGGAGACCCTGCGCCAGCGCCTGGAGGAGCTGAAGAAGCTGTGTCTCCGAGAAGCGGTACGCAACGGGCCTTCTGTACCCCTAACTCCTTCTTGCTTCCCTTGTTACAGCGTGCTCCTTGTGTGGATGGGGTGTGCAGTGGGGAGCAGAAATTCCTTCCATAGTCACCTCTCACTAAGGCTGTGGTACAGTGGCCTGAGGAAGGTCCAGATCTTTCAACTCCAGACTGCAATGTCTCAGGACATTACACCCCCCCAGAGAAGGGGACCTCATGTCAGCTGGGTACCCAGTTGGCTTGGGGCCAGGAGGGTGCTTAGTGTCCATGTCTGCTGTTTGAAATTGTGTTTAAAAAGCATTCAGCCAGGCTTCTTACTGACCTCAGGGGGAGTACGCAGCTACCTAAGTGGCATAGGAATGCTGTGCTGTGTACTGGTCATCACTTCTCAAATGCTTTTGACTTCATTAGCCAAAAAAAAAACCAAAACACCCAGGCTGATAGAAGTCCTTCTTGGAGCAGACCTGACCTAATGTTCTTTTCTTCTCCCAGCACATTCTTCTGTACAGCGCACAGGGTCTTACCTGCTCCTTGTAGATCCCTTTCATCCAACAAGTTCTGGCACTGCTGGAGAGGAATGGTGGTGTGGTGGCAGACCTTGCCAAGAAGAACCACTGCGTTCATCCCAGGATGTTTGGGACAGCTCAGGAAGTCATCTCACAACCTTCCCACTCACTTTGCCAGTTCATTCTTGGAGTACACAGGAGGCCAGTTGGGAGATCAGTTTAATGTTTAGGGAAACCACAGCCCTGCTGCAGCTGTGTGTAAAGATTACCAGCAGCATACACTTGGGTCATTCAGCAATTCCTCTTTGTTTACCAGGCCTGAAAATCTGAATTTAACAACAAATCGTGATGCGCAGCACAACAGGAAGCTGGCTGCAGACAGTGGCACTGAGATCTTCCAACTGTTGCTTAATATTTGATGTGTATCTCACCTTTGACAAAAATTGGGGAAATAGGTCAGAGTCAGCTCCCATTGCACATTGTTTTCAATTAGTCTTTAGTTTTAATGCCAACAAGAATAAGTTGTGGAAAATACCTCTCAACAAAGAAAATCTGCAGAAAGCTCTGCTGGCCCAGTCCCTGTCCTTTACTCCACAGAGCAATCCTTTCCCACCTGGAAGGTCCTGGTTGACTTCAGTGAACAAATGCTGATAAAGGTCACAGGACCAGCTCCAGTCTCCCAAGTCCCTCAGGAAGCAGTCACACGCTCGTCGTGGGCTGATGGACAAGGTCTGGGGGCTTTACTTGTGCTTGGAGGAATTTGCCACCCTAAGCTAAAGCTGCCTGACTGCTGATGACTAACGCCTCGCAGCAGCAGCACCACATGCAGGGGAAGCTGGATATGCCTGTGCCACCAGTGCAGGAGCTCACAGCCCAGTGCCTTCACTTTAACCCCAGCCAGGTCTGCAGTGCAGCCTCAGGCACTTTGTGAGCAACCAGGATGCAGGTGAAGGCTCCTGCTGGGGCCTGGAGCCGGTGGTAAGCAGCAGGATCTCCAGAACGTGCTGCAGCAAGGCTGGCCAGAGTCCATCTGTCAGCACCGTCAGAGCTGGGAGAAAGTGTTCGTGCTTGCTGTGGGTGATCTGAGAGAGGCAGTTGATGGACACTTGCAATCTGACCCCATCTTGCAACCCTACAGCTCATCCATCAGCAGCCTGTAGTTGGAACTATTTCCTCTTGGGTTGTGCTTTGTCCTTTCTGCTTTGGCATGGGAATGGCCAAAACAGAAGGAGAAGGAGGGCAACCAGGAGATAAAAAAGGGTTAAAACTGGGGGCATAATCAAATAAGCATGGACCCAGCCATTTGTAACAGTGGCATCGGGTTACTTTGGGCCATGGATACTCCAGTTACTTATTAATTTAGATTGCATTTCAGGATCATGCCTGTGAATACTTTTCAGCTTATGGAGGCAGTAGCCCACGTTAATTTTCTTCTGCCCCAATCTTGAGCATTTTACAGAAGATATTAACTCTTTTCTCAATGCCCTGCTTTGTGTTAAGTTAGGGGTTATAAAGAAATATCCTTGTTTTCCTTAGGAAAGGATACAGGAGTCTGTGTCTTGATGCAGTGCTTAGAGCCACATGCCACTGGAAGGAACACGTTCCAGAAGAAAAGCTGAAATAACCCCACGGGGCTGGAGGGGCAACGCAGGGTGGGACTGAGGCATTGCAACAGTGCCTCTCCTAAAAGGGGGCCGTGCACGTCCGCACAGAGCTGTGCTGCAAACCCATTCTGCTGGGAATTGCTTAAAGGAGAGATTTGAAAAGGCCAGGTCCTCGTTTCCTAGTGACCTGAAAAGAGTAGAAAGAAAAACCCCATTAGGGAGCCGGGGAGAGGCCGGGGCAGGCAGGGGCCTGAGCTGCACACTCGCATTGAGGTCAGCTGCTGTTCTTTGGGATTCGGATGATTTAGGTTACTCTGCCAGCTGGATCCTCTCAAGGCTGATGCTAAGGAACACAAAAGCCTTTTGTCCTTCGTGGGGAGACTTGTGAGCATAAGGAGTCAGGCTGTGCTGGTAGTGAGGCTCCTGCCTTTTTCTGCAGGCATTTGAATGCCTTCAATTCAGATCTGTGTGGCTGTATTGTGTAGTCCGGGGGCAGAAACCCACAGCATTAACAGCAGCAGTGAGTGGGACTTACTGCTTCCTGTGTTCCAGATATTCCTCAGCAACATGGGGTTTGCTTCAGATTTTGGACAAATCTTTGTGAATAACCCCATCAGTATAACAAAGCATCATCTAATACTGCTCCAAGGCTGCCTGTGACATCAGGGGGGTTTAGAAGGGCCTCTGATACATGAAGTGTTATCTGACAGGTAATGAGGTACCAGGCACTGCTTGTAGTGACCGTTTTCACTGCATTCCTCTCAGACACATCATGAATCAGGTGGGAATGTTTTTCTGTGCGGGTTGTAACCTGCACAGCTGTTGCCAGTGGGGCTTTCTGACTCAGCAGACCTGCATCCTGCATGAAGGCTCTCGGATCTACTCACCCCCCTCTCAGAAGCAGCTCAGCAGGCAGAAGCTCTTCCTTCCTACTCACCCTGCAGCAGAGATGAGAGCATGTGTGCTGCAGTGCGTTCAGCCTCAGGCCCCAACGCCCTAGGGATGGGCACCACCTTACAGACCTACCCTGGGCAAAGTTTGGATTCATGCACAGAAGGAAAAGTTCCCCGCCCTCGGTGTCAGGTTCTGGGATGAGTTTGCAGGGCTGGGTGCTCTCCTGTATGCTTATCAGCTGGCTGAACTGGATATGTTGTTAATGAAAGCCTGTCATTTTACAGTCACAGTTCAAGAGCAGTGTTGTGCTTTGCTCAACTGCAGGATTTCCCGGATCACTAACAGTATTTTCTGCTTACAGGAGCTCACAGGAAAGCTGCCACGAGAATACCCCCTAGATCCCGGGGAGGAGCCACCTATTGTAAGGAGAAGAATAGGAACTGCCTTTAAACTGGATGAGCAGAAAATCCTGCCTAAGGGAGAGGTGAGGCTGTGCCCTTCCCTTCCAGCTCGGTGTCCCCACCTCAGGTCTTAAAGGTGTTTGTGGCGCATCATATTGGAACCATCAGTCCTACAGTCATTTTTGCTTTAAATTACTGTAGCGGGTCTTGATGCTTTCTTTTCATATCCGTCAGAACAAGGGAGCAGTAACAGAGCTGGTGCCTTTAGTTCAGACTCTGGAGTAAAGGTTAAACCCTCAAAGTTCAGTCCTGGCATTGTTAGAGGCAGCAGAAATAGCCTGGGTGACCAGCTGGACTATGGACTAGTGACTTGTGTGAGTAGGGAGCACATCGTGAGCCCCTGGAGCTATGTGAGCCCTGCTGCCCCCCGTGTTGCTACTGCCAACAGCCCCTTGCTTTCTGCTGCAGCAGCACCCTGGGTTCAGAGCTCCCCTAACCAAGAAGAGAGTCACAAATACCCATCTTAGCCCTGCAACAGCAGGATGGAAGTGTTTTGCTCCCTGGCCCGTAAACAGAAGAGCCTTCATCCCTACCTATGGGGAGCTGGAATTAGGTTTTTTCTGGGTTTGCCAGGGAGTGTTTGTTCTCTTCTCTTGCTCCCACAATGTGCTGGGTCAGTGCCCTGAACCGTGGCTGTGAAAACAGGCCTGCAGCAGCTGTAAGGCGGGACCGGATTCACAGAAAAGCCATTGTCTGCAGAGACACATTTGTCTCAAGACACTTGTGTATATTCCAGTCTTGAGTTTCCTTTTTATTTTTGTAAGAGGAGAGACTGAAGCTGGTGTGACTGTGTGGTTTAAAGCTCAGTTCAGATGGGGAATTAACCGTTTGTCATTTTGTTGGCATTTTCTGCTGAAAAAATAAACAGCTGAATCTCTTATGTTTTGTTCTCAATGGAGCCTGGGAGAGGAATTCCACCACAGTCAAATATTCATGAACTAGCACATTTAATTAAGCTTTTCAAAGGGAAGCACAGCTTAGCTGAGTTACTCCTAAAACCCCTGCAGTCTTTTGGCTGCTCAGTTATTACCTGATCTCCAGCTTGCCCAATTCTTACTGCTATGAGGGAGCTTTTGGGAACAGCGGGTGAGGAATCTCTTACTCCAGTGGCAAGGTTGGATGAGGAGAGGATGAAGGTAAAGCAGCTCCTCCCCATTGCAGGCACTCTGCCTTTTGGCATCAACAGTCTAAAGACGCTGACTCAGCTTTTCTCTACTTCCCTTTTCATCTGTCAAACTTTAAGACTGTGATGAAAACCATAAATTTCTGTTCTCGAAGAACAATGTTGAGTTGTATTTATTTGGCTGCCAGTCTGAGAGCACTTAGAGAGGCCAGTGATGATTTACGTGGGCTTTTCAGCAAGTGCAAACACTAGAAACTCAGTTTAAAACAAAAGGTGAAATACTCCCTCCGTCACGTAAATTCAGGACTGATATTACCAACTGTGACAAGAACCTGAAGCAAGGCACTTCCATCTGAAAGCAGATAGTAGTCCTCATTTTCTGAGGTTTTCTTTGTAGGGGGGCCTCATTGGAAAAAAATAGGCAATTATGGCTGAGAGGAAAGTGATGTTTTTCCTAAGATGTACTGAATGATTTAGCACTGAATCTGCAAAGGCCTGAAATGACAGCTCACATCAAACTCACCGTACACTTAGTGAGAGCTTTGTCAGAGGAAGAGTTGCACGGAAGGGTCATACTGGAATAATTGCCTCTATGTCATCCATAATTCCCAACTCTGGGAGAGATTTTACCAGAAGATGGCAAATCAGGTTCCAGACCTTAAAATTCCATGGTCTTAAATTCATTTTATAGAAGTTTGGTATTGATAGAGCTTATAAACTCTTCAAAGCAAAAGGGATCTGTTGATAAGATGGGGAGTGGGTTCAGCCTTCAGTAAGGTGAGAGAAATTACAATTGTAGTTTGAAGGCAATGCTGACTCACCACTGACAGTGAAGGGATTTTTTTTTTTTTAAGCCAGAAGCCCAGAATAAAAACTTCTAGAGAACGACTTCAGTCTGATTAATTCCCACAGCATCAGCTCTTGCAGCATATGCTGCTGCTGAACAAGGAGAAAGGATTTGGATTTGCATGACGGGGATTCCCATGAATATATGGCTGCTGGTGATTGCTATCTGAACTCCCACCATTCACTAAAAGCAGGGAAGCTTGCCATTTTTTCCCCAATTTGCAATGTACTGTGTTCCTCTTTCTTGCAAACTGACAGCCAGAATTCAATCAAGCTGAGGAAGGTAGCCAGATCCGTTGCAGATTAGCAAGCACCTTTGAAGCTCACAGTTTGAGGTTCTGAGGCAGACCAGGAAGCTCTCTATCAGCTTCTCCCTTATCTAAATCCCATGACTTTGGAGGATGACTTAAAATCAGTAGGTAGCTTCCAGGGTGTACTTGGTTGCATTTAAAAACTGAGCTGAGACCCTGCAAGGGCTGGTGCTGGGGACTCTTTTCAGCATACAGAAGGCTTGCTGTAAGACACTGCTCACTCTGAAGTCACCCTCCTGGATTGTCACTTTAGGAGACAATTTCCTGGTGCAGCCAGTTGCAGCAGCCTGTAATTACTTCAGCTCATACTCTCCCCTGGATTTTGATGGCCATACACCAGAGAGGAATTAGCCCATCTTAGGCTTTTTCAACCCAAAGAGTTTGGTGTGTGCCAAGCAAAGCTGTCAAGAAAGTTAAAGCTGTAGCTCAGCATCAATACGTAACACTGATATCAAACGAGGGTCAAATATGGAGATAGGGAAGAGAGAGAAGGAGCAGGTGGGAGGCAGGTGTTACCCACAGATGGGTATATAAGGATGAGGATGTCAGCAGTAGAGCATCGTTGAACTAGGCCATCCTGAGCTGCATTAGAAGCTGAACAGCACAGCAGGGCTAGGGCTGGAGCACAAGTCTTCCTTGTGTGGGTTGTCCCTTCCACTAGCTGTGCTCCCAGGCACTCGTGTGGGCAGATGAAGGTGAGATGAGAGGCATGCCCAGGGAGGTCTTGAGATGAGGGGAGCAGCATGATCGTGGATACTTTGCTGATGCAGAGCCTTGGTCGGAGGCCCACTAGACAGGTTCAGGGGGAGCTTTGCCATAGCTCAGCTGGGAGAGTTTGTTGGTAGCCAGAATGCACTTGCCTTTCCCCAGGAGGCAGAGCTGGAGCGCCTGGAGAGGGAGTTTGCCATCCAGTCCCAGATCACGGAGGCTGCCCGGCGCCTGGCGAGCGACCCGAACGTCAGCAAAAAGCTGAAGAAACAGAGGAAGACGTCCTACCTGAACGCCCTGAAGAAGCTGCAGGAGATCGAGAATGCCATCAATGAGTATCGCATCAAGTCTGGGAAGAAGCCAACCCAGAGGGCCTCCCTGATCATAGATGGTGAGCGGGGCTTGGCACCCCTGGCATCACGGGAGGGTCTCTGGAGGGCAGCGAGTCAAATGCTTGCCTTGAGGCACGGGTTCCCCTCCCTCCTCTTCACTCTGCTGTCCGGAGGATGCAGTGGGTGCTGGTGGTGGACTGTCCTCTCCTGTCCCCTCCTGTCCCCACGTGTGGGGGCTCACAGCACCAGCAGCAGTGTCACACTGGGGGTGACAAGTGTGACGGGAGAGCAGGCCGTGACTGCTTTGGTCAGGAGTGTTAGCAGGTGGGGGGGAGCACTCTACCTGAGGCATCTCTAAAACCAAAGTGGTAGCAGTGTCATTGCTTTAGGCAAATGATTTTTTTTTTTTTTTTTTTCTTTTTTAAATGTAATTCAGGGCACTTTATGGTTTAGTGGGTTGTTGACTGTTTTTTCTTGAAATCCATTAACTGTCTGCTGTGGTTCTTTCTCCCTTACTGGTTTTGCCCTCTGACTTGCAGAGCTTTTCTGTGCCTGAGCAGCAGGAACTGAGATTAGAGCTGCTGTATTTGTGGCCTGGGTACCAAGCTGTAACACAGTCAGGGATCTCAGACAGGCGTGAGGACACGGGGTGGGGGAGGCAGTTCAGACATGTGCACACCAAGGATCTAAGAGCTTCTCCTGCTGCTACAGAGGATGCTCAGAAAGTGTTCCCCTGAGCTACACAGAACTGGTTCCTAGTGTGAGCCTTTAGTTACCAACAGGGTGATGGTTTTAAGAAGGTGGAGATCAAACCCAGAGTCCTTAAGGCCCACAGTATAAATCTCAGTAACTCATTTTGCATCCTCTGGGGATCTCAGCTCTCTGTTGTCCTAATCACCATGAATTTAACAACCGCCCTCTGAGACTGAGAGTGGGCAGAGTCAGTGGTTTAAAGGAATCTTGATTCTCAGCAGTGTGGGGAGGAAAACATGGGTGACTGCTTAAGGCTGAGGCTCAGTGGATGAAGATCCCAGTGCAGCTCAGCACTCAGCCACTGCAGTTCTCAGGACCATCTGACCATGTGTGTATTTTCTCCCCTTCAGAAGGAAACATTGCCAGTGAAGACAGCTCCCTGTCAGATGCCCTCGTTCTTGAGGATGGTATGTTGGCTGCCATATGTTCTGGAGGGCAGGGAGGGATGTGTGGACTCCTGATTGACACTCAGAGTGAAGGAACTGTTCTGTGTAATAATCCACTCAAACATCCCAGTAGCAAACACGTTTGGTTTCCCAAGTCCCCCTGGTAGTCTGACGTCAGGCCTGGAGCCTGAGCATTGCCACAGTTACTGCTCTGATTTCTTTCAAGAGAGTCCCAGAATGCCCCCTTATTTTCTTTTAAGGTTTCAATTGTTTTAATGTATCACACACTGTTGCTGACTTCCCAAAATGGGAATGTTAGCTGGTGCACTTCTGGAAGTTGGGTCTTCAGGTTGCTCCTGAACACAGCCAGGAGAAGCAGGGTAAGGAAGGAGACTCTGGAGGTGTGATGGTGTCCTCCAGGGCTGTGCTGCCATTAGAAGTATGACACAGCCATCCCCTCTCTTCCTTCTTCTGTTCACAGAGGATTCTCAGGTCACCAGCACAATATCCCCTCTCCAGTCCCCACACAAAGGACTCCCTCCCCGGCCACCCTTGCACAACAGGCCCCCTCCTCCGCAGTCTCTGGAAGGCCTCCGCCAAATGCATTACCACCGCAACGACTATGACAAGTCCCCCATCAAGCCCAAGATGTGGAGCGAGTCATCCTTGGACGAACCCTATGAGAAGGTCAAGAAACGCTCCTCACACAGTCATTCCAGGTGAGCCAGCTATCTTGAATCACAGAATCATTAACGTTGGAAAAGACCTCTAAGATCATCGAGCCCCGCCATCAATGCAACACTACCATGACCACTAAACCATGTCCTAAAGTACCACATCCACACATTCTTTGAACACCTCCAGGGATGGGGACACCACCACCTCCCTGGGCAGCCTGTTCCAGTGCCTTGCCACTCTTTCAGTAAAGAAATTCTTCTAATATCCAATCAAAGCCTCCCCTGCTGCAAGTTAACCCCATTTCCTCTTATCCTATTGCTAGTTACTTGGGAGAAGAGACCAACCCCCACCTCACTACAGCCTCCTTTCAGGTGGTTGTACAGAGCAATAAGGTCTCCCCTCAGCCTCCTCTGCTCCAGACTAAAGAACCCCAGTTCCCTCAGCCGCTCCTCATGAGCCACTTTCCCCAGCCCCTCCAGCAGCCTCATTGCCCTTCTCTGGACTCACTCCAGCCCCTCAATGTCCTGCTTACCCTGTGGCACCCAAAAGTGAACCCAGTACTCAATCTGTGAAAGCAAAGATAGCCTCTGCTTTCAGGAGGGGTGGGTGTGAGCCCTGTCAAAGTTTACAAAGCCATCCCATAGCAAAAGGAGTCTTTTTAAGTGTTTTGGCCAATAAGCATGTCATAAAAACAGACCACATCCACACAACTACTGCTTGATATCTCAGTGTTACTTTAAAAAGCATTTCGAAAGGAAGGATGGTGGATCATCTGAGGGCTCTGAGAGGGCTTGGCCTCGACCTCTGGCTACTGCAGAAGCACAGGCTCTGGCACACTGCTCAGAGCAGCACAGGCCCGAGTCCCACTGACCCCAGGAGATCCCAGGCGCACGCCTGAGGTCTGGGAGGCGGCGCGGGAGCCCCTTCCCCATTCCGTGAGGGACTGAAGGGGGTGTTTGCTCCGCAGCAGCCACAAGCGGTTCCCCAGCAGCGGGAGCTGCGCGGAGGCGGGCGGGAGCTCGCTGCAGAACAGCCCCATCCGGAGCCTGCCCCACTGGAACTCCCAGTCCAGCATGCCCTCGACGCCGGACCTGCGGGTGCGCAGCCCCCACTACGTCCACTCCACGCGGTGAGTCCGCCCGGCGCCGCGCCGTGCTCGCCCCCTCCCCCTGGCATGCATACTCTGCTTAATCCTGCCCCGAGGAGGTGAGGTAATTCCCGTTCGGGAAAGGACACAGACCGCTCCCGATGGCCTTAGGGGCTCGTGTGCTGCTGCCAGCAGGGAATCTCCTGATCTGAGATCCTGGAATCGCTTCAGATAACACAGTCCTGCCCCTCATCTTTCCCTCCAAGTAATGAAGCTTTTCTCCCACTGTGACCTTTCATCTCAGGGATGTTTATAGGCACCACAAACCCCATGCCACTTTTAAAGGGGATGTGGTGCTACTGCTTAATTCTGCAGTAAATTCCTCCATGGGTCCAGCTGGAGATAACATGTTGTTTCCTGTCTGGCACAAAATGTTGGGTAGTGTTAATTCTCTCTCAGACAAAATGTTTGCACATGTGTGATCTTATGTGGAGGGAGAGCCTATATAAAGCAATGCACCTGAGGATCCAGGTGGCACTGGCATAGGCCCAGGACTGACAGAGGAAAGAGCAAAGTGTGTGAGGGAGGTGATCTGATGCACGTTGCGCAATTTTCAGCAAGATTTCTACAAACCATTGAGCTTTGCTGCTGTTTTGCTCTCATGGCAAGCTCTGTGGACACTGCAGGAAGCAGAGCTGAGCCAGAGCTGTGTGCTGTCGGGTATCCTGCCCTCGGGTGGTGCTGACATCAGTTAGCTCGGTGTAAATCGACAGTCACGCCAACAGGTCCGACTCAGGCAGAGACAATAGAAGGCATTAAAGCTGTGCACTGAGTTTGTTACAAGTTCCTGGCTGGGAGGACCTCTCGAGAGTGGAATGATTGTTAACACTGGGGCCAAACTGTGTGAGAAACGAGCCTGGCACAGTGCTTGAGAAGTGGCCTTGACCGGGTAGGGGCCGTTGGTGTGTCTGAAGCAGCCATTGCTCAGGCTGGGGTCCATTCATTCGTTGCACCCCTGGGCCTTGGCCATCCGTCCTGCGGGTGTGTGACACGCCACGGGGCGTTCCTGCTCCCTGGAGGACGGCTGAGCCTCTCCAAACAGCCACTGTGAATAGAGACCACCCAGATCTGGCTGTGAATCGAGCCTTGTAAACTTGCAATTCGGGGTGGTTGCCTGAAGGGCTGTCACCCACTGACAACCTCACACGTGCTACCCACGGCTGGGCCCCAGTAGAACCTGGCTGCTTGACAGAGGTGACTTTTCCAGAGGCCAGTGGAGAAATGGCTGCATTCTGGGCTAACTGTGGGCACCAGCTGAATTGTATCTGTGCTGGGCATTCACAAGCCTCTTGCAAGGCAATCCCACCACCTCTGAGGACTTGCAGAGCTGGAGCAAGGTGAGCCTGGTAGCACAGGGACAGTGCTGATTCAAACAGCTCTGTGACAGGGCAACACCAGCAAAGCTGGGGCTTGAGGTCCCCAGGTTTTGCCCTTCAGACTGCGTCTTTCCCAGGATGCCAAGCTACAGAGATATCGGGCTGGACAAGGGGCTTTGTCCCATGTGGTGCTGTAGACTGAATGCTACCACCAAGGAGAGTGGGGAGGAGCAGGAATAGGACCTGATCACCCCCGACCCTACAGCAGGGAAGCAGGCTGCTTTGCAGGCAGCAGCCCCATGCAGTGCTGGTGGGGTCCAGGTTTTCAGTGCCCTTAGATTCCCTTGCCAGCAAGGCTGGCCTTGTGTGCAGAAAAGGATGGGTAGTGCTTTGTCCTGTTGACTTAACCAACCTGGATTTTTTTACTGGTACCTGCAGGTCAGTAGACATCAGCCCAACCAGACTGCACAGCTTAGCTCAGCACTTTAGACACCGGAGCTCCAGTTTGGAGTCGCAAGGCAAGCTCCTCGGCTCAGAAAATGAGACAGGGAGCCCTGACTTCTACACCCCAAGGACTCGTAGCAGTAACGGCTCTGACCCCATGGACGACTGCTCTTCCTGCACCAGCCATTCCAGCTCTGAGCACTACTACCCCGCTCAGATGAACCCCAACTACTCCACCCTGGCAGAGGATTCCCCGTCGAAAGCCAGAGAGCGGCAGAGGCAGAGGCACAAATCGGCAGGCAACCTGGTCTCTTCCAATTCAGGGAGCATGCCCAACCTGGCTGCGAGGAACGGGACGGGGCATCACCGCGTGTACCTGCACAGCCAGAGCCAGCCCTCCTCCCAGTACAGGATCAAAGAGTACCCCCTGTACATCGAGGGCAGCTCCACGCCCGTGGTGGTGCGGAGCCTGGAGAACGACCAGGAGGGACACTACAGCGTGAAAGCACAATTCAAAACCTCCAACTCCTACACGGCGGGGGGGATGTTTAAGGAGAACTGGCACGGGGATGAAGCGGACTCCGTCAGGCTGACCCCGTCCCGCTCCCAAATCATACGGACTCCGTCTCTGGGCAGGGAGGGCCACGAGAAGGGCTCGGGCAGGACTGCCGTGTCGGACGAGCTGCGGCTCTGGTACCAGCGCTCCACGGCCTCGCACAAGGAGCACAGCCGCCTCTCGCACACCAGCTCCACCTCCTCGGACAGCAGCTCCCAGTACAGCACCTCCTCGCAGAGCACCTTCGTGGCGCACAGCCGGGTCACGAGGATGCCGCAGATGTGCAAAGCGACGTCAGGTGAGGGCCCGGGCCGGGCAGAGGGGCTGCGGGCAGCCTGGGCTCGTGCCAGGCGTTGTGCCGCGGCTGGAGAGCGGTGCCAGAGCCTGGCACGTTATCTGGCCTTCACGTGCTGCTCGCCAAGCCTGCAGGTGCAACCCTGGGCAAGCCTTGGCTGATACGGTCAACGGGTGAGATTTTTTTCCGTGGAAATGATCACTTTGCAATGACGGACTCGAAAGACAGGGAGGGACCAAAGTCCCCTTGTTGGCAGGTCTTTCCTCAGAGCGAAGTTGGGTTTTGGGTGGTGGCACTAGGGGCAGAACATGGAGAAACCATGGGGGGAGTCGCTCTCAGTAATCACAGCGAGGGGGGCGATGTAGCAGGTGGGGGCTCAGCACAGCCTGGGAGCACACGTGTCCCCCGTGGAACACCAGAAGCATGAGAGAGGTTAAGCGGGGAGCATCCCGGCCCCTCTGCCCCCCATGGAAATGTTTGAGTGATGACATCTTTGTGCACCACGGAGACTCAGGTTTCCCGTGCAGCTCCAGCAGCTCTGCTGATCATACCCTGAGAATCAGAGCACTCAAGGTTCTGCAGTGTTGTGCCTCTGCTATGTGCAGAGCTTTGTGCTCCTCTGTGCTGTTAATATTCAACGGTACAAAAAGAGTCAAATTCATTAAACTGAGGAGGCTGCTTTGTGTTATGGAATAGACCAAGTTTAAATATTTACTGGCCATCAGTCACTGCTGGACAAGCCAGTTTGGATAGATCAAGGACTTGCTAAAAAACCTGAATCCAGCCCTACTTGGAAGGAATTGTTGTTCAGCCAGAGTTCGCACTGTGCCTGTTGCCACCATTCCACACTCCTCAGCCTTGGCATGGAGACACCGTTGCCCTGGCCTCTCTCTGGCCTCTCTGCTCTCCCCAAGCAGACAAGTGCATTGTCCACCTGTGCTGGCTCTTGGCCTTCTGACATCCCAGCATGGTGCTTGGTCCATGATGACCACCACACTGACACCAGTGGGGCTCTGTACTCACTGCCACCTCCAGCATGGAGGCAGAGAGGCAGTCTGACACCAGGCTCCTCATGGGCCACCAACAGCTGCTCGTGAAGAGGCTGATTTATGTGTGATGCCAACGCTCCTAGAAGGCCCAGATGTGGACCAAGACAAAAGTGAATAGCTGCTGGAACTGTCCTGTGTCTCCTTGTGAAAATTGTCTTCCCCTCTTTGATTAATAGGCGTTTCTGTTCCACCCAGCAACAGACAGTGCTTGAACACTGGAAAGCTTTGCCTTGCTTAGCTTTGGAAACCCTACCAGTTCAGTTAGGTAATCTAGAAGGGAAGACTGGGGCAGTTGGGGGAGGGCATGCAAAAACCACTGTCGGTCAAAAAACACTGTCAGTCAGCCCATTCTCCTGCCCAACTGGGTCTTCACATCCAGATTTGATACCTGGGCAGCACGGACTGGTTTTGTGTTCACCCAGTCCCCAGTTACAGCTGTGGGAGGATACTGACCTTGGGGGCTGTCAGCTCCAAGGAGAAGATGAAAATTTATTTTTCTCTCCTCAAGTGTCATTTGGCAGCAGCTATAGAATTGAACAGCACAGAAGGGGATGCCAGGCAGAAGCAGCCATCATTTTAGCTGATTAGCCCGAGCTGGTAGGTCTGCTGGACTTAACGGTGTCCTTCAAAGAGGATTAAACTTCTAGGCATATATTAAATTTGGAAGGTCAGCACTGTACAGACTTGAGGGGGAGGAAAGGCAGGTCAGGTGGGTTTCTAGCTAGACAGTCATCAGGGAAACTGCCACAAGAACCACTGCCAATGGTGCATTTTTAGTCCAGCTTGCGTCTGTCTTCGTTGAAGTAAGATAAGCTTTCCTCTGGTCCCAGAGTAGTGGTGTCAGCAAAGCCAAACCTGTTTTTTCCAAAAGCCCAGTGGAAGGTAGTTGTGGCTTTTGAGATCCCCAGAGCTGTCTTCCTCCTTTGCACACAAAACAGTGTCCTTTGTCCAGACTGTTGCTGTGCCAGCCCTGGCTCCTGGGGACACAGAGAATCTTCCACCACCCCTGGAGGCAGGAGGCCGAGCCTGACACGCCTGGCATGTCTCTGCTGGTCTGACCAGCCGGTGCTTCTGACCCAGCCTGACTCTTTCTCCCCCACCTCACCAGTTATTTTTCTCCATCCTCTGGTTGTTTTTCAGCTGCCTTACCTCACAGCCAGAGGAGTTCGACGCCATCGAGTGAGCTGGCAGCCACGCCGCCGGGCAGCCCCCACCACCTCCTCGCCTGGCAGGCTGGGTGAGTGGCTGCGGGGGAGCTGCCGCGCGAGGGAGGGAGAGCTCGGCCGAGGGGAGCAGCTCCCTGGGAGAGCTCAGCTGAGGGGAACAGCTCCCCAGGAGAGCTCGGCCGTGGGGAGCAGCTCCCTGGGAGAGCTCGGCCGAGGGGAGC